CAGTTCTTCTGTCAGGAGTTTTGTGTCCTGGTTGTACTGGTGACCATGTGTCCTGCAGGGAAGAATGTCGTTGAGAGAGGCCTCCCAGCTTCCGGTGTTGGCTGAGTGTAGCGGGGTCTCCCTGTGTCTGAAGGTTTGGGGATGTCTCTGTCCACTTTCTCAGTGTTTCCCTGTGGTCACCTTGTCTTCTTCATGGGTTATGACAGGAAGGGCTCCAAGGCAGAGTGGGTTCCTCAAAGGTATGAGAAGGAGCCAGTACGTGAGAGCAGGTTCCTGGGAGGGAGGGAGTTCCAGATCTGCTGGGACAGGAATGGAAACCAGGCTCAAAGTAATTTAATGCTTCAAGAAACAATTGCTGATCGTGCGTGCCAATGTCGCCCCCTGGTGTTTCCTGGGAGAACTGCAGCTCATCTCCAGGCACAGCAGGGATGGGAGTGGGCTCCAAATGCTGTGGGCTGGCCTGCCTCCTGACCTCCTCAGGACCAGTCAGTCATTCTCTTCACCCTGGCTCCCACATCTCCCACTCCGTCCAGCAGAGGGTAAGTTTAGGGAACTCCTGGTTGAGGTGGGAGTACCACACACCCAGAGGACAGGTGTGTGTCCTTGAGAGGACAGTCCTGAGACAGGACTATGGCAGAGGACACCAGCAGGGGGTGTGCCTGCACTTGCTCAGTCCTTCCCTTGGCTCTAAACCCTTGGATCTCTTTGCCCAAAGCGTTTGCACTTGAGTGTAGAGAACATTGTCTGACCCAAAGGCATGTGTTCTGTGCAGTTCCCTAGGGCCTATTTTCTATTGTGAGGTATTTATAACAAAAGTGCTCCCTTGCCAGGTAGCACATACATATCTTTAATCCCAGCACTTGGGATGCAGAGGCGGGCAGAGATCTGTGAGTTCCAGGCCAGCCAGGGCTACACAGAGAAACCCTGCCTCAAAAAAGGAAGTGCTGTTTTAACCAGTTATGGGTACAAATGAGTGACATTCGTCACCCTGTTTGTGCCACCACCTCTGCTCTAGCCAGAATTTATCACCAAGAAGCAACTCACTGTCCCCACAGCTCTGCTACCCTCCAGGCTCCTTCCTTTCTCTATGAATTGCTACTTCATAAAAGTCCTGCATACTTCGTAAGATGCTACGCATGCACGCACGTGCACACAGATTTCATCTCTTGCTTAATGGTTTTCATGTTCTCCCATGGCCTAGACTGTTCAGACTTTCATGCTACAAATTCCAGCTTCTAAGTCTTAAATAATGGGAAGAGCTGTCCACATGGTGTGGACCCGAGAGGAGTCTCCTGTTGTTGGAGTCTCCTGTTTGTTGAACCTTTCACACTTTCCTGAAGACCGGTGTTCAGTCCATTTCTGTTGGCCGTCTCCCGGCACAGCATGAAGAGTCATGTTTCCTCCAGGAGCTAGAAGCATGTGGGCCATGCCCCATCAGTCCCCATAAAAGTCAGCACTGTAACTGCTGAAGCACCTCCAGGGAGCTCTGGGCGTGTGTGTGTGTGTGTGTGTGTGTGTGAGAGAGAGAGAGAGAGAGAGAGAGAGAGAGCGCTGTGTTCTTGCAAAGCTCAACAGTTGAAGCTCCTGCATTTAGTTTGTCCAGTGTTCCGTCTGTAACTGATGTGAGGGCTTTGTTTCCCCCCAGTGGCTAGCTGCCCACATATGAAGCTTTTGTTTTTCTTTGAAGTAGATCGGGGGTGCTGCCAGGAGCAGACTTGTCTCATTGTCACTAAAAGCCTTAAGTTAATAAAATCTTTAAACGCCATATTCTCTAGATCTCTGAGGTTTTTGAAAACTATCTATCTTATATGAATTGTTCGTTTCTAGCTATTTTTATATGTCAATCTAGGAAACATTTTTTAATTAACTAAATTAGTATCTAATATGACCAAGAATTTGATTGTCTAACTACTAATATGTGTTTCTTATTTATCCTAAGGAAGTAGTAATAGCAGCTTTCGAAAGGACTAGAATTTAACATTGCAGTTTTAAGAATTATATAGGTACAATACCTTAACATGCTGTAACCAAGTATAATCTTAAATCTGTACCAATAGTCAAAGATTTATTCCAATGTAAAAATTTTGGCTTACTATCGTTCTTTGGTCTAAGAGTAGATTCAATAATCTACCCTCTTACTTATTTTTCCTATCCTTTACAACCAACTTCTTTAAAACAATAAGAAATATCTATCACCCATAGAATGACCATAAACCATCCATCCCCTCTTGGGAATGGGGTGTAATCTCTTAAATTGATTTCTGCTGATTTGGGACATTTTTTTTTTCTTTTTAGGGGCCCAAGAAAATTGGGATATTGTCTAGTCTTAAAAGCTAGCTGTAGGGGGCTGGAGAGATGGCTCAGCGGTTTAAGAGCACTGTCTGCTCTTTCAGAGGTTCTGCGTTCAACTCCCAGCAACCACATGGTGGCTCACAACCATCTATACCCTCTACCGCCCTCTTCTGGCATGCAGGTGCACATGCAGCTAGAGCACTGTATTGCATAAAATAAATAAATAAAAATCTTAAAAAAAAAAAAAAAAAAAAAGCTAGCTGTGACTTTTGCTGTCCAGTGTTTGAATGCTGATAAAGTTCAGATCTTAACTGAAGTCCTGACTAGAACAGCCTGCGGTGTTGGACAATTTAGCCAGCCATTTTGAAATTGTCTCAGATGCAGACTTTTGAGGAAACAGTTATTGAGGCCATCTGTGAGGTTGGATCACGTGGGATACTTGTCTTTTTTGGTGTCTGGCTCTCTTGCTCTGCAAATATTAACTTTCAAAGGTATTTAGATACTGCATTAATGTATGTATGGGTGTGCACTGAGCACAATCCAGTTAAAGATGATCTCTGCTCTCTGTTTGAGAAGGGAAGGCATTTGCTTTTCTATATGTTATGGATTGTATAACCAAACTGTAAAATTTTTATCTATGTACTTAAAAGAATAGCATGGTAAGTCCTGAGGATTTTGTAGCCAAAGATTTATTAGCCATGCATAGCTGAAGTCCTGGCTTGATTTCAAGTACCTTACAGCAAAAGGCAGAAAATGATGAACACATTGTTTCAAAAAGCCAACAGGGAAGCCTGCAATTCCATCGCTCCCAGAGACAGAAACAAGAGGATCTCTGTGAGTTTGAGCCAGCCTGGTCTACAAAGCGAGTCCAGGACAGCCAGGGCTACACAGAGAAACCCTGTTTTTAAAAAAACAGAAACAAACAAACACAAAACGAACGAACAAACAAAAACCAACAGGGTGTTTGCCGAAGCTTTTTAGCAGCAGGTTTTGTTTGTTTGTTTGTTTGTTTGTTTTTCTTCTCCTTTTCCTCATTTTTGGGATATTTTGCTTATAAAAGACTGACTGAACAACTGGGAAAAAATACGGATAGAATTAGAGAAAAGATTGACTAAGGCTCTGGAACAGACGGTGTTAGAGAAGCTTAGAAATCAAAAAGCAGGAGTAAAATGTCAAACACAAGAAATGGGGAAACAAGTAGATTCATTCCGTGACTGCATCAGCAAGAGGGAGTTCCCCCAGGTACGAAGAGGGGAAGGAAAGGTGTCAAAGAAAGGAACAGGCAGGACGATCAGATGAGGCAGCCTTTTCAGGAGACAGGCTAAACCCACACAAGTCCTGGGTCACAGGATCCCAACAGCTTAGTGCTTACACAGCGTGTGCTGCTGATGGGTGATCCGAGTGGTGAAGTAGGATGGCATCCTGCAGAAATGTTGGGCCATAGACCCTGGGCTCTGTCCCTAGCACCTCTTTCTACAAACCCTAATTTTTAAAAATTGTAGAGGTTCAGACACGGTGGCCCACACATACAATCTCAGGCCTAGAGATGGAGGCGGGAATGGCTGCAGACTGGGCCAGCGGCAGCTAACTAGCAATTTGGAGGCTCACCTGAGCTACATAAGAACCTGTTTCAAATGAAACAAAACAAAACAAAACTATCAAGGGAAAAAACAAATGTGAGCTTGAGATGGTGTCCCAATAAAAGCGAAATAAAGAAAACGATACATGTATGCAATGGAATGTTCGGCTTTAAGAAGTCAGGAGACCAGCTATGAAACTCACGTCCGTCGCCCCAGCACGCACACACCCGTGAGCTCACATCTGCCACTCACACCAGCACTCAGATGGCTGAGGGAAGCAAACTGTGAATTTCAGTCCGTACTGGGGCATGTAAAGAAATCCTGTCTCAAAAAAACTAATTTAAAAGAAAGAGGGAAGGACCGAGGAGACGGCTCAGTGGGCAAAGTGCGTGTAAAGCTGGGCTTGTGTAGGGGGATCAGTGATCCAGTGCCTCCACGGAGAGACAGAGGTGGAGACAGAGGAATCAGCAGGAGCCCGCAGGTAACATGGCTGCAGCCATAAACGAGACAGACCGGGCGTCAGGGCAGAAACAAAGGTTTTGTCTGAGGTTGTCCTCTGACCTCCACACAGGGCACGTACAAACCCACACTCACACACCTGTGTCACAGAATAAAGAAAAGAACGAGCAGCAAGCGTGGTGGGCCACATCTTGAACCACAGCCCTCGGGAGGCAGAGGCAGGAGAATCTGCGAGTTCCAGGCCGGCCTGGTCTACATGACTACAGAGACATTATCTTGAAGGAAAGGAAAAAAGGAAGGAAGGACGGAAGGAAGGAAAAGAAAGAATGGAAAGAAGACAGGAGTGGGCCTGGGTTAGCTCAGTGGGTAAGAGCGTTTGCTATACTAACATAAAGGCCTGAGCCAAACCACCATCTCCCAAGTGAAAAGGCTCAACTCTGTGTGCCTGTAACCACAGCTTTGGGGGCAGGGAGGGCAGCTGGATCCTGGGAGCTCCCTGGCCAGCCAGCTAGCCACAGTGGCGTGCTTCCAGTTCAGAGAGACCTTGTGTCAGGGTTTACAGTGAAGAGCCGTAGAGGAAGACACCCACCCAGGCTTGTACACGTATCACAGAATTCACTGCAGAATGGTTAAAACAATTTTATGTTGTATATAACCACAATAAAAGCATATTATAACTTCCCATATATTAAAAATATCATCTCAGCATGCAATCAGTTTTTTTAATTATTGAGAGGTTTTGCCACACAGATGTTTGACCTTCATCGTATTCCACATCTCATCTGAACCTGCCACGTTTCAATTGCTTAATGGCCGTGACACCTACCACCCCAGGCAGGATTGGTCTTCCATCCTGTGTGCCAACACTCCATTGCTTTTGCTGAGCACCGGGTCTCCAGACCACACTGGAAACATGTCTACAGGCGGACCATGGCCTCTGTGCCCTCCCAAACCTCCACGTGAACCTGCCCACGGCACCCAGGCCGCTACCAGGATCTCCTACTGCTCATCTCTGGGGAGAGCAATTTCATTGATTCTCAGTCTCCTCAGATGGTCATCTCAAAGTCAGGGGGCCGCTGGGCCGGATTGGGGGCTGCTGAGCAGCCTTCCTCTCGCTTCCCCTGGGACCCTTCGTGCTCTTCTTCAACACAGCTCTCCTCCTGCTCCTCCTCTTCATCCTCCTCCTCTCCTTCCTCCTCCTCCAGCATGGTCACCAGCTCCTCCCGAAGAGCCGCCATCTCCAGGCCCAGGTCACACAGCTGTCCCAGCAGCTGGACATCCACTCGGCGCAGGTTCCCCTGCAGGAATAAAGGACAGACATGACATGCCACACCGGGAGCAGGAAGCCTGCAGGAGTGCCACAGGGCTGGGTCTCAGCTCAAGTTCTGGCCTGTCTGGCCAGGGACCTCCCTGATTCCTACGTTCTTCATGCCACCTGCTTCTCTGGGTACCCCTCAATCGCCATTCCTCTGCCTGCCCTTCATGTCTGTGGCTCCTGTCAGTCTCTGCCTCCACCTCTCCATCTCCATTTTCTCAGCGCTGCCTTTGGTCTCTCCCAGCCCCATTCCATCAGAGGTCCTGTCTGTCTCTCCTTTCCTCCTCTCATTCTACCTGTTTTTTTCAGGGACTGGCTCCAGTCCTGTCCCTCATGCTCCATCCCCACTTCTACCTGTCTCTGCCTGTATTTTATCTTATTTTCACAGATGATCCCAATCTGTGGCTCAGGCTGGACTTAGCTTGCAATTCTCCTGCCTCAGGCTCCTGGCGACTCCTTAGCTGTGTGTATCTTTGTTAATATTCCACGGTCTCATCCCTCTAAGGCCGTTTCACTCACCAGCTCCTCCCAGACCCACAGCAGCAGCTCCCTGGCACCCCCAAGGTCTGCCCCTGAGGACAGCAGGGTCTGGCCAGGGTTGCTCTCTGGCGGGGCCATCCTTAGGGCCTGGGGGAGTGGGCCCAAGCCAGTGGGCTCCAGTCCAGCCTGCTTCAGCTGCGCCCACAGCTCCATGGTCTGCACTGTGGACTGGAGAGCAGGAAGTTGAAGGTCCAGGTGAGCCAGGCTCCTGGGAAGCTGTGGGATGGGGGAAGAAAGGGCGGGGCGGGCTGCCAGAGACATCCCAAAGTCCACTCCTCAGTGTGAATCAGATGGCCACATGTTTTTTCTGGAGTCCAACTTCCATGATCTTACAGGGTCCAAAGATCTCCTTGAGCCGAGGTCCAACTTCCCTCTGCTGCCTCTAGGGCTGACCCTCCCACCCCCTCAGAGTACATGGTGCTTGGCGTTCAATGCCTGAAGGGGCTGGGCTGTCTGTCTTCCCAGGTCCTCTTGGCCAGGCCGGCTTCCTCAGCCTCCTTAGCCGAATGACTGAGGCCAGCCCCGTACTTGGTCCTTGTCTGTCCTCCGCCCTGAGCCTCCATGTGGAAGCTGCAGGCTACCGTACTGGAGCCAGCCTGCCAGCCTCGGACCTGCTGCAGGGTGTCTGTGCCAGCGGCACGCCTGCAGAGTGCTTACCTGGTCCCAGGCTTAGACCACAACTGCCCCCTTGAGCCCAGACTCCAACTCTGCAAGTGTGGTCAGCGCAGAAACCCCACTTTGCGCCCACCCCACTAGATCCACTTCCTGTTGATGTCACAAGTCACCATGACCTCGGTAGCTTAAACAGTGCAAGGGGGCTGCAGAGATGACCCTGCGCCAAGCCTGACTCTGAGCCAATCCCCAGGACCCACATGACGGAAGAAGAGAACTTCGGCTTGTACGTTGTCCTCTGACGCATACAGGAACACACGTGCACACACACACGTGTGCACATATAGGCGCGCGCACACACACAGGCATGCAAGCACACACAAGCGCACACGCGAGCACACGCGAGCACACGCCATCCTTCTGATGGGCATTATTTATTGCAGGTGAATGGGTGACGGAGCATGAAGGTCCTATCAGAAGGAGGGCCAGTGGGGCCAACGGGAACCAGGAGGCCAGAGGCTGGAGTGGTACGAGGAAAGCAGGCGGCTTCCCGAAGCTCGGAGCAGAGTGCGCATCCTGCCTTAGAGGGTCTGGGAGCAGCCAAGCCCAGCGCACCGCTTTACGCTTCAGAATAGCAAGAGAATTATCTGGTGTGCTTTTCTCCTGTCCGTGCTAGGGATGGAAGCGTGTGTGTGCCTAGCATGCAAGAAACCCTAGGTTTGGTCTCCAGCACCTCACACACTTCTAACCGCAGCATACATGTGCCCACTCATGCACACATTAAAGATAATGTTAGGCCACATTGAACGGAACTTAGGCCAGCCTAACGTGTGCCAGATCCAGTATGTAAGACGTGTAAGACCCCTTAAGAAATAGAGTATGTGGTTGGTACCTGGTGGGACCTCCCCCTTCTCTGAAGAGAAGGAAAAAGGAGAATGGAGGGGTGCAGGAGGGGTACCGGGAGGTGGCAATCAGGGTTAAAGTGAATAAATAAAATTTTAAAAAATGCTTGATGTGAACTCCAAATTAGTGTCAGTCACTTACACTCAAGTCTAACCTGGCCAACCACCTCGCCGCTGGGGGAAGAAGCCTCAGTGGCAATTAAGAGCACTGACTACTCTTCCAGAAGCTTGGGTTCAATTCCCAGCACCAATTCCAGGGATCCCAAGTCCTCTTCTGGTCCTCAAGTCATTGCCCACACGTGGTGCAGACACACATGCATACAAACACTCACACATATATAAAATAAAAATTTTACATCTAATAACAACAGGGCCAGGGAGCCAGGGCATCTGAGTTCGCCTTCCGGACCCACACTCTGCTCATTTCTGCACCTGCGCCACGGCAGGATTAAAGAGCGTGTGCGCCTTTAAAAGGCGGGCCTTAAAAAGGAGGGGCGTGGCCACAAGAGAAGTGTCTAAACCGGGTGTCGGACGAGAAAGCCCCGCCCCTGCTGGTTACGCCTTCCGGCAAGATGGCGGCGCCCAGGGCGGTAGGTGACTTCGGTGCCTGGAGCCCCCGAATTGTAGTTAACTTTGTAGCTCCGCCCTCGAGGCCTGCGGCAGCCGAGCGTCCGCTGCCGGGGCTCGTCCTGGGGACGCCGCCTGGGGCTGCCGAGGGCCGCAGAGGCGTAGGCGGCTGTGGGGTGAGGGTGGGCGAGCCCGTCAGAGGACGAGGATGGCTAGCTCACACTGGGACGGAAACACTAATAGAAAATCAGAGAGCACGGCGGGCAGGCAGGAAGTTAGTTGGGAGTTCCGGGGAAGAACCTGAGGGAGAGTCGTAGCGCTTCGCCAAGTTGCAGAGCGTAGTTACTGGTAGTGCTCTGGCTTCCATCCCTAGCACGACTTCCAAAGATAAAGGTCGCGTGGATGGTTTAGGTTGTCATTTAGCAACCCCTAGGGAGAGCTGGGGAAGATTTGGGCTGGGGAAGTGGTTCGTTGTTAATGCGCACGCGTTGTTAAAAGGGGTGCGCCCAGGTACAGTGAGAGACCTGCCTCAATCTATAGAGGGCAGTTGAGGAAGACTCCTGGCCTCGACCTCTGGTCTCCATCCACAGGCACGTTCATGCGTGGACACCCACACATTCCAATAGTCATATGCATGAATTCACATTGTACACATACTCCCCCTCAACCCCCCCCCCCCCCCCCCCAATAAGGATTTGGTGGGAAATTAGAAGAACTTGAGAAAATGAAGCCTGGCTGAATTAAAGAAAGATTTGATGACTGTTTAAATGGAAGAATTTGGGGAAATGTTTCGGGTCCCAAAGGTAAGGATTGGGGAAGTGGCCACGCTGAGGACTGGCCATGGTGCCTTATGCATATTAACAAGGACTCTAGTCCTGAACTACACCCCAATATTGGGGGTGGGGGGAATTACCAGAAGGATTTTGACAAGACTCAGGAAGCACAGGGGTGAGGTTAAGAGGCATGGTGTAAGAGCTGGGGGTAGATCCAGCTTCAGGCCCAACCTCAGTCCTTTTCCTCTTCCCTTCTCTAGTTCCTGTGCCTGGTTGCCAGACAGTGGAACGGGAAAGCCAGGGGCATCCACAGCATGAGTGAGTCCATGACCCCGGGCAGCAGTCCCAAGAGAAGAACACTGTTAGAGTTCCTCGCAGACCACTTCCAAGACGTCCAGACTCTGAGAGAATACTTGCTCCAGAAACAGATACGGAAAGTGAACCAGGAGAATCGGTGAGAACGTATGGCTGACGAGACCCCAGGGACAGCCTGCTGGCCAGACCTCCTAGCCAGAGCCAGGGCTCCCGCTCTAGTCAGTCCCAGGCCCGGCTGTGGCTTCCCCTGTCAGCATTACCACTCACATCTTCATCACTGGCCCATCCTTCTGTAAAAATCCACTCAGAGGCATTTCCACCACCAACCCTGCTTGTAGGTCCAACTGGCATCTCAGTCATACGTGGCTAAAACACAAATCTCTCACATCTCCCTTTAGAAAGAAATCTTATTCTCAAGTTGTCCCCATCCAAAAAATGGGTGCCACTGGCCACCCGGTTGCTAAGGGTGAATTTTAAGGAGTCTCCCTTGGCTTCTCACTGCCTTCATATCTAGTGTCCAGTGCTAAAGGACCCTCAGTGTCAGGTGCCATTATTTCACCGTGTGGCCAGGGCAGCTTTTAAAAGAAAGCATTTAGCTGGCGGCTTGCTCACATCTCAGAAGCTTAGCCCGTGGCCATCATGGTGGTGGCGTGATGGCAGGCTGGCACTGGAGCTGAGATCCATAAGTAGCAAGCCCAGAGAATGAGTGTGAGACTGGGCCTGGCACGGGCTTCTGGAGACACACACCTCCTCCAACAAGGCCACGCCTCCTAACCTTTTCCATTTCCACCCAGGGGGATACCAAGTATTCAGACATAACCCGTGGGAGCCATTCTCATTCAAACCACTGCAGTTATCACAACAGTTCTCTGACCGCTTGCTTTTCACCCTGTTCCCTGTCCCAGTCTGTGGGTGCTGGGAATCAAAGTGGATACTCTGCAGGAGCCACCAGTGCCCTCAGCTGGGTTGTGCCATCTCCAGACTCATTGTTTATTTTTGTTTAGTTGGTTGGTTTTCGAGAGAGGCTCTCACGTAGCTCAGGCTGGCTGGCCTTGAGCTCCTGATCTTCCTGCTTCTAACTCCTATCTGTGCCAAACCTGGCCAAGAAGTAACTTTTAAAATATTATTTATTTACTTACTTACTTACTTTACATCCTGACTAACCCACCCTCCCTCCCTTTTCCCACTGTCCTTACTCCTCAGGGAAGGGGAGGCTCCTCTCTCCCCACCTCACCCATACACAGACCAGCCCACACCAGCAAGCACATCAAGTCACGTCAGGGCTGAGCACATCTTCCTCAGTGGCCTGGCAAGGCAGCCTCACCAGGGGGAAATGACCGAAAATTAGACAAGAGTCCATGTCAGCGATAGCCCCCTGCCCCCTTTCCATGGGACCCATATGAAGACCAAACTACTCATTGGCTACATATGTGTAAGGAGCCTAGGCCAAGTTCATGTGTCGTCCTTGGTTGGCACATCAGTCTCTGTGGGACCCCCTAGGCCCAGGTTAGTTGGTTCTGTTGACTCAAGAAATGACTTAACATCAACTCCAAATGAGTCCACAGTCAAGCTGCTCCTGGCTTTTCCTCATCTTAAAACTGGTGCTCTGTGATCTGTGTCCCTCTGCCAGGCAGTTCAGCAGAGTCAGGGTTGCTGGCCATCTTTGAGAGCCAGCATGAGCTCAGTACATATCACTGAGTAGGCACAAGGTTTGTAGACCGGCTAGTCCGTATTTGCCTGCTGCGCTGTGGCCTGCCCCTCAGAGACCTGGCACACAGTGACAGGCCCCAGGCTCCACCTTTGCGCTCATTCTCTCTGCAGATCCTACAGTGGCATCCAGGAGAGGTACGGCCCGTATATCAGCGGTGCTTTCTTCATCCTGAACCAGGGAGGCGCAGTGAAGTACGACATTGGTGGTGATGAGATGTGGGAGTGGGCGGGACATCTCTGCGTGGGTTAGGGCCTTGTTCCTAGACTTCAGTTTGTCCTTTACAAAAGGAGACAGTACCTAGAGGCGAGGAGGTAAGGACAGGGTGATCCCTGAGGCACCAGCTGGCCAGATTGGGAAGCTCTAGGTCCGGCGAGCCATCCTGTCTCAAAACACGGCAGAAAAGCAACTGATGAAGACACCTGACTTCAACCACTGGATTACATGTGTGCATACTTGCACACACAGAAAGACATACAAATACACACGTAAATTTTAAGTTAACAGCCAGCCCTTTGATCCCTGCACGTGGGGCCAGAGGCAGGTGGCTTTCTGGGAGTTTGTGGCCAACCTGGTCTACATACTAAGTCCCATGACAGCCAGGGCTCTGTACTGAGACCTTGTCTCAAAAACACCAGAAATAAATTATATGCAGCATTGGTAACTCCAGGGTCTGCTTTAAAGACTGGGGTTTCACAACCTAAACAGTTGTCATAGGCCTACCACCACAGTGCTCCGTGGCGCTGGGCAGCTGGGTAACATGCCAAGCCTTATCTCATCAGAGTCAGGCTGGACTACATAGCAAAACCCCACCTCAGATAAACTCTTCCTGCCAGGTGGCCAATAGTGTACATCTTTAATCCCATACTTGGGAGGCAGAGGCAGGCGATCTCTGTGAGTTCCAGGCCATTCTGGTCTATAGCATGAGTTCCAGGACAGCCAAGGCTATACAGAGAAACCTTGTCTCAAAAGACCAAAGGGGGAAAAACTTTTTCTGCCAGGTGGTGGCACACTCCTGTGGTCCCAGCACTAGGAGGCAGAGAGGCAGGCCAAGCGTGTCCCCTAGCTGGGCATGCTGGTACACACTTGTCATCCTAGCTCCTTTGGAAACTGAAGCAGAACTGTAAATTCTGGACCAGTCTGACCTACATAGCAAGATCCAAGACCTTGTCTCAAAAAAAGAAAGTTTTCATGCTCCTTTTTTTTCTTTCCTCTCTCACTCTTTTGTTTGTTTGAGACACGTTTTCTCTGTGTAGCCTTGGCTGCCCTGGACTCACTTTGTAGACAAGGCTGGCCTAGAAGTCACAGAGCTCCCCCTGCCTCTGCCTCCTGAGTGCTGGGACGACAGGCGCCACGGTGCCGGGTGTTTTGTTTATTTAGTGCATCAGAGTGTGCTTTTGTCAGTGTAGAGGTCAGAGGACAACTTGAAGGAGTTAATTCTCTCCTTCCCCCTTAGGACCTGGTGGAACCAACTGGCTGTCAGCCATGGCAACAGGCAGTTCTACCCACTAAGATCTCATCAGCCCTGGTTGTTTGGTTTTCTTCTGAAAAACAAAACAAAACAAAGTTTCTCTAGCCTTTTCTACTCTCCCTACCTGGCTTGAGCATGTGTGCCAACCTGCTCAGGATGCAGTGTACACCTGAAAACGTCAGTCACAGGACTCACACTTTTCCTTCTGTGTGTGTTGGGTTGGGGGTAGAGGTTGTTGGCAGGGTCTCACTCTGTAGCTCAGGCTGACCCTGAATTCCCAGTGCTCCTGCCTCAGCCTCCCAAACTTTGGGCTCTTGGCCATGCCATCATGCCCACTCAGCTCGTCTCTAGTGCTGAGCACTATCTGGGGCTTCCGATGCCCGTGTGAAAGGGTGAGAAGAATGCCATCTTGCCACTGCTGCCAGATAGCCACATGTGGGAAGCCCAGCACTGGCTCGTGCCCTGCTCTTCTCTAGGTTTCAGGACAAGGAGTGGATCCTGCAACATGAGCGCGGCCACTTTCTTGCCGAGTTCCAGAAGTTCCAGAACATACCTGTGGAGGCTGTGGATGCGAGCGGCTGTGCCATCAATTACCAGGGCATGAGTAACATCTGTGAGTGGCCTGGGATGGGTGGTGCTGGGCTCCATGAGGGTCCCTCGAGCCCCTGCCTTCTCGCCCAGCAGTGCCCCTGAAGGAGCTCTCCTCGAGCCCCTGCCCTCTCGCCCAGCAGTGCCCCTGAAGGAGCTCTCCTCGAGCCCCTGCCCTCTCACCCAGCAGTGCCCCTGAAGGAGCTCTCCTCGAGCCCCTGCCCTCTCGCCCAGCAGTGCCCCTGAAGGAGCTCTCCTCGAGCCCCTGCCCTCTCGCCCAGCAGTGCCCCTGAAGGAGCTGCGCTCTCTGTCGCTGCAGCGCTGCCCCAACGTGGACGACTGGTGCCTCGGCCGCCTCCACGTGCTGGCCGCCTCGCTGCAGGAGCTCTCGCTGGCTGGCTGCCCCCGAGTCTCAGAGCGGGGCCTTGCCTGCCTCCACCATCTCCAGTAAGAGCCCTGCTCAGGCTGCCCCTGTGCTAGCATGGGCTCCCATTCCCTGACGCGGCAGTCAGGAGGGGATGCTAGGCTCCGTTAGCCATCTGCCTGTGCCCTCCCTGTGATCGGTCTTCAGAATGAATGACTCCTGGCTTTGCTTTCTTTATAATGGATGAACACTCCATGGTAATCACACTGTTGTGGGAGAGCAGAAGCCAAAGAAACAGGTTACAATTAGCAGTGAATTTTTCATAGATAGCTATAAAGTTTTCTAGAGAGCCAGGGGTGTGGTTCAGTGGAGAGCCCCTGCCTAGAATCCCCCCCGGGGGGGGGGGGGGGCGGGGGGGGGGCCCGGGGGTAGGGCCCCTGCCTAGAGTCCGCCGGGGGGGGCTGGGGTGTGGCTCAGTGGTAGAGCCCCTGCCTAGAATCCGCCAGGGAGGGGCTGGAGTGTGGCTCAGTGGTAGAGCATCAGACTAGAATGCCCCAGTGAGGGGCTGTAGAATCAGTAGAGTCAGCAGTAGAGTACAAGAAGCTCTGGACTCCATCCTTAGCAAGTGCGTGCACAGGTACACACAGAATAAAAAGAGAAACTACCATTTGAAATTAGGGTCAGAACACACGGATGCCACTCTCACATGTGAATTTTCACCCCTTCAGGAACCTCCGCAGGCTGGACATCTCAGGCCTTCCTGCCGTATCCCACCCAGGCCTCACTCAGATATTGGTGGAAGAGATGTTGCCCCATTGTGAGGTCCTTGGAGTTGACTGGACCCAGAGTCTGAACCCAGGGGCAGACCAGCAGCCTGAGGACACACCAAACCCCCTCTCTTCATAGTGGCCCCACTCCTGAAGGCTCTGTGGACTCTGACATCTCACGCTCTATTGGCCAGACTGAGGCGGGTACTGACGGCCTGGGCAGACGGCCTCCGTGCACAGCTGCATGCAGCTCCATGGTTTCCCCTGTCCCTGTCTGCGAAGAGGAGCCCTGAACTGTCCACACACATGCCCGCAGGGACTGGGGCTGACCTGAGGCGGTGCTGCCCTTTATAGCGAGTTGTTCCCTGTGCAGGCTGGTCCACAAGGTGGCCAGCATCCTTGGCCCACGTGCACTGACGACCAGCAGAACCCCAAGCCCCATGGCATTGCCCATCGGTTTACTGACTTGCACGTTCAAATGCGGGGGTTGGGAAAATGTCCTCTTTGGCCGGCACAACAGACTCTGTCAGTAGTGGGTGCTGGAGAAAATCCAAATGGAATGCGAGGCTGTGTGCAGGGATTAGAGTGTGCAGCATAGCAGGGCGGGGCAGGGCAGCGGCTCCCCGGCGCAGCTCCCACATCCTGGTGGTCAGCAGCTTCCCTGGCGCTGTTGTCGGTTGCCAGCGGCCGCCTCGTGCCACCAGTGCACCGAGGAAGCGTGGGGTTCTCTGTATTAAACCCTCTGTTCCCGTACCCTGAGCCTTTTCCTCCCAGCTGGATCCAGATGGCGCCGGGTCACCGTCCTGGGGATAAAGGTTCAAGATGGATTCGGGAGGGCTGGGGCTTTGGGCATGAGCATAGCACTAAGTACCTTGCTGAAAAAATAAGAACAGGGTGCCAGAAATCCTGGCGTGCAGCGCATCCCAGACAGCCATGCTGGATGCCAACAAGCTGCCGACTGCCGCATAAGCCCGAGGCTGCTATGCACCCTTGAGTGCTCAGAGTCTAAGAGTGTCAGAGCTCCCGTGATGGCCTTAGAAGCTCATTGTTGGAACGGGGTTGAACTTCAAGTTGCCAGGCCTTGCCCTTGCCCCCAGCCACTTCAAGGCTCTTTTGCCAATCCCAGAACCACCTGGTGATGAGCTCACCTGGGTCCTGGCTTTGAAAGGAGTGCCCATTATTTTAGAAATTTGCTTATTTGTCTGTATGACGTGCGTCATAAAGGCATCACTCTTAACCACTGAGCCATCTCTCCCTCTCTCCAGCCCCGTGTGTCCATTATTATGACTTCAGAAAGCATGGAGGGGGGGGTGGCTCTCGCCTTTAATCCCAGCACTCAGGAGGCAGAGGCAGGTGGGTTTGAGTTCAAGGCCAGCCTGGTGTACAGAGTGAGTTCCAGGACAGACAGGGCTGCACAGAGACACCCTGTCTCAACCCCCCCCCACCACCAAAAAAAAAAGAAGACTCTAGAAGCAATCAGTGGGCAGAGGGAGGCAGGCAGAGCCACACAGTGTAAAATCCCACTTTAAATACACACGTACACGTCTCAAGAGCATCCTCTACTGCTAACAAATTCATAAATCCTAGGATCAACTCCACTTGCTTCAGAGGGAGAGGGACCTGCTGGCCCCAGCTGGTAAGAACAAGATAGGGGTGGTATAGCTCATTGGTAGCATGCACAAGGCCCTAGGTTCAATACTCAGTACCTTCCCAAACGCTAAACATCCCTGCATTAGGGACGCTGAAGAAGGAAGATCACAAGGAATACAAAACAGAATGGTTAAAAAAAAAAAAAGAGGGGCTGGCAGGTGGCTCAGCAGTTAGGAGCACTGACTAGTCTTGCAGAGGGCTCAGGTTTGATTCCTGGCATTCACATGGCAGCTCACACTGACTGAAACTCCAGTTCCAGGGAATCGCACACCCACTTCTGGCCTCCGAGGGCACAAGGCATATAACTGATGCACAGACATGTATAAAACACCCATATAGGAAGAATGAGACTGTGAGGTGTGCACAGATCGTTCATGTTCACCACTTCCTCTCCACTCTCTTCCTCCAGTCTACTCCCACGGGCTCCATTATTCAAACTTGGAGGGAGGAAATCAGGGCTGGACAGATAACAGACCTGGGACTTCAGTGGAGTGTGGTGGCTTTCGGATCTGATGAGTTAGCCTGTGCCACAGAGGTGGTCTGCCTTGTTGGTTAGCTGACTGGAACAGGGACCCCACAGTACCCTGCAGTTAATAAAGCCAAGAAACTAGAAATGCCCTGGCCTGACATGGGAGCAGATAACGAAAATGCCCAGCCTATGGTCCCCAAGAGCAATCTGCCTCCGACCCTTCACCCCTGCTTCCCGTTCCAGTGCGTTGCTGCTGCTGGCTGAGCCCTCCGGGTCCAGCCGCTGTGTGGCTTGTTTGGACCCAGGCCGCACTTGGCAACCGGCGGCTTCCTGGGCGACTGTAAGGCCCCAGGAGGGGATGCCACAGTCATACCAGGGCCCTGGAGGGAGATGAGGCAGGAGAGCTTGGAGGGAAAGGCGCTTTCCCACGGCCCTGGGCTAGGGTGGGCTTGGCCCTGCCTGGCCCTTGGCTATAGTTCCCACTCTAGCTCTTACTTATTCCATTAGCGTTCATGTTCACCACTTCCTCTCCACTCTCTTCCTCCAGTCTACTC